ACACACACACACACACACACACACACACACACACACACACACACACACACACACACACACCTGAGTTAGTTTGTTAGGCTGAAAGGACTGTGTTTGGTTGCATCATCACACATGTTTACTGCAGTTCTGACTGAGAACAGCTGAGCTACACTCACCTTTCAGACATTAGTTAATAGAAATGTTTGTCAGTGACTCAGTAACAACAGAAAACACACAGGAAAGGCCGATCAATGATGGAATAGTACTCAAGCTGTTATTTCTGTGTTACTCAGTATGACTAAAARTATCTTAGTATAAATATTTAAACTCAGACCAGTTTTACCATTCATTGGTTTTAAATAAGAAATTAAACTTCAAAAAATGCATGATTATGTTCAGTTTCTTCTTTGAAAATATTCRTCTAATTCCCTGTTATTACACCAGATGAGGCTGTTATAATTACTTTAAAAGCAGGTACTGACAGATAAATCAGTACCAATAAAAATCTGTCCCAAACAGCCAGTAAYTCACCAGAACACTTGACCTGTTTTATGTGTAACGTGTGTATGAACTGGGAATCCAAACCCAGTGATGTCTGTAAACTGGGGTTATCCAGATGTTTCCAGAATCATGGAGGGTGACATCATGTAAGTTATATGTTTCAGTGAAATTACCTGCAGAGCTGTGGTTAGAGAAGGCAGACATGAAAAACACACCAGGTCTTTAAAGCTTCACTGACCTGTTGGGAGCTTTATACAGGATCACAACATGTGTGCTGTGTGTATTTGCTCAAGTAAAATAAGGAAATTTCCAAGTATTTTTGGACTGATGACAACATACTGCACATACAAGGTATTTGGSTTTGACAAATAATATGTACATTCATTGTTATTGTGTACTGTAGAAACTTACAGGTGTTTTCTTTATGTAAGTTGAATTATCAAACTGTCCATTTTACTGTCCTRTGATGCTTTTAGACACAAATGAGTGGATGCTCTGCGTGTGTTACTGCTTCAACCACAGGACCTGTAGTAGTTTAAATATAAACTTGTGTCATGGGTACAGATGTATTTTGTAAAGACCAGCTGGACAGTTGACAACTATGACTTTCTAAATGCTAACCAGACGTAGGTCATGTAAACAAAGTGATGTGTAGCACCTAGCAAGATGTCAGCCACAGATTCTCAGCTAGCAGAACTGGCCCTTCCAGTGTCTCTGATTAAAGTTATATACTAACGTCAGCAGGTCAACGCTGTGTGTGGTAAACATGAAGCAGAAGATTCATTTCCAATAATGGTGGTTTTAGATAATTTAATTACTCATTGCATTAAAATGAGGCCATCTTTCCATGATGGCATTAAAGGGATCATGATTAGTTGTAACATTAGACTTTATTTAACAGTTAAAATATATGTTTATTAAATAAAGTCTAATGTTACAACTAATCCTGGATCGTTTAAGATTTAGAAGATGTAATGTGCATAAAGATCCTGTGGTTTCCCTGGAAGTCTAAGGTCAGTGTCCATGGTTGTGGACTGGCTCAGGACCATGTGCAGTGGTAGTAAGGGAACATGCCTGGCCTTGTTGATCCTGATCAGGTTCATCAAACCGTTCCRACCGWGTCGTCCCATTGGATCGGTCAAACTCTGCTGTGATCTGAGCCAGAGTCTTACCTTTTGTCTCTGGTAGAATCAGACCTAAAACCACAGCAGAGACCAAGCAAACCACCAAGAAAGGTAAGAAGCAGTAGTTTCCCAGACCGCTGACGATGAAGGGGAACAGCATGCCCACCAGGAACAGGCTGAGCCACATCAGGGAGCCAGCGATCATGTAGGCGGCTGGTCGAGCTGCCTGGTCAAAGATCTCAGCGGGCAGGATCCCTGTGACCCCTGCAGGGCCCAGGCCGAAGCTCAGGATGTAGGCGAACACACAGRCCATGCTGAGGAAGGGCATCCCTGGCACCCTGTGGCTCTGCAGGATCAGACTCACAGTGAACACTACAGTCCAACATATCATCAGACTGTACCCCCCAATGAGGAGACACCTGCGGCCCACACGCTCAATCAGAAGGTTACTGAGGATGGCAGCGGTGAGTTCTGACGCTCCGGTCCCCATGGTCACGTACTGGATCTGGTCCTGAGGAACCCCTGCCTCCTGAAAGATGTACGAGGCGTAGAAGTAGATGGAGTCATTGCCGCAGAGCATCATGGCACTGCTGGAAACCATGATGGTCTTCAGCTGGTACCGTAGGTCCCCATCCTTCAACAGTGACCAGGGGGTCTTTGCAGGCGCTACAGCACCACATTTGACTGCAGCACACATCTGCTGCTGCTCCTGAAGCATCTCCTCCAGCTCCAGGGCAGGAAGCTGTCCTCCACGGAGCCGTGTCAGRGCCTGGACACAGGCTTCCCTGTCCCCCCGGTCCATGAGGAGATACCTGGGGCTTTCAGGGAACCAGGGGAGCGTCAGCAGCTGGACCAGGCCCGCCACAGCGTTACTAGCTAGAAGGTAGGGCCAGAGAGGTTCTGATCCCAGCAGCTCAGTCAGGCCCACAACCTGGCCAAAGAAGATCCCAAAGGCAGTGAAGACTGCCGAGGAAAAGGCCACGGCCCCTCTCAGGTGCTTCGGAGCGCTCTCTCCAAAGTACATGGGCTGCACGTTCATGCTGACCCCCGCGTTGACCCCCACCAGGAACCTGGACACCACGATCAGCTCAAAGGCCCGGGCCAGCCTGCAGCTCAGCACCAGAGCAGCCCCCACCAACAGGAAGGAGTTGTTCACAAGCAGGGACTGCTTCCTGCCGAAGCGCACCGCCATGGGCCCTGCTAACAGAGCCCCCAGCAGCCCACCCAGAGAGAAGGCCGACACGATGAGGGTCCACAGCAGGGTCACCTGAGACGGGTCCAGAGCGCTGCCCCAGCGCTCCACGTACGTGTGGTTGATGAAGCTCTGGATGTAGCTGGTGGGAGCGTTGATGATGGAGATGTTGTAGCCGTACTGGAACGTGCCTCCTATGGCAGCAGAGCACACAGTCAGAGCCAAGGTCCTGGTCCTGGTCCTGGTCCTGGTCCTGCCTGGTCCMTCTGCTTCAGGATGAGCTGAGGAGTTCATCTGAGTGTTGTCTGTGTCCTGCAGCTTGTAGCTCATCAGATCTGTCCCACAGGTCCAGTCATGCAGCAGAGCCGGTCCTCTAACCTTCCACTGACAGGAGAGTCCTCCTGCAGCTCAGATCGGTCAGAGCTGCTTTTCTCCCTCAGCTCGGACTGTCAGGCACAGCTGCTGCAGGCTCAGTGACTCAACAACAAAATGAAATTAATGGATAAACGAGTCTTTCAACTCATAATAGTTAACAGTATAATAGTAATAATAATAATAGTTAAGTGTCTTGCCCAAGGACACAACAACTGAGACAGATGGGCAGGGGATCGAACCAGTGACCTAACGGTTCCCGGCCGTCCCCCCCATTATATTTGATATAAACATTATATTTAATATAAATATAATATAGGTTAATATAAACAGGTCTAATTCTTCCATAAGCTCATGGTCTAGTCCAGGGGTGTCCAAAGTGTGGCCTAGGGGCCATTTGTGGCCCCTGAAGAATTATACTAATTTGTTTCCAAATTCGTCCCCCCAGCCAGAGTTGTAAAGTAACTGAGTACAAATACTTTGTTACTGTACTTAAGTAGAATTGTTGGGTATCTGTACTTTACTTGAGTAATTATCTTTCAGCCTATATACTTCTACTTACATTTTATAAAAAGTCAAGAAGTAGAAAGTTGCTAC